TCAAATTTTTTGTTGCCAAACTTTCCCCCTAAAGCATGAGTTCCCTATGAATTATATCCTTTACCCTTTTTGCACTTTTTAGATTTTTGATTTTGAACCTAATATTGACTACATTAATTTTGTTTTAACATAGAACAGCTAAAAAGGCTATCTTTTTGCAGATGGCGGTATTTTGAGCAACACCTTGGGTTGTTTTAATTGGCTGTTTAGTTAACAAGAAGCGTAGTTGCGTTAATTTTATGTCAAACACATCCTTATCACTAAATAAAATATGTTATGTGGTTTCATGGTGAATAACATTGAATAACAGACAAAAATTTTGGTTTTCGCGCATTTTTATCATTTTCGCTTGAATTTCTTGAAAACGGCGCTATTTATTAAAATTCTGACATTAATATTTCAATGTTCTTTTAATAAATAACTATTAACATCTGTTCTAACAGATGTAAATATTTCCATACAAAATAGTATTATTCAGAAGACAGAATATGCAAAAATGCTGACATCTTGTAAAATAATAAATTGTCCGTCCTTGACCTTTGATCGTGATTTGACGGAAACTGCACCATATGAATATTTGACGACCGGGCAAAACAGAAAAAACAGATGATGTGCTTTCGAATGGTATATGATTTAGCCGTATGTTGGGTAAGTAAAGTTAAGTTAAGTAAAAAAATTTATAGTTAAAGTCTATGGGGAAAACCCAATTCAAAATGTGTCGCTTTGTTTTGACATTTTAGTGCCGCTTGCAAAAGAAGCCTGAGTGTTGACCTCCACATGCTTAACATGTGTGTTTGAATATGCAAGGATTAAAGTTGCAAAATTTCCCTTTTGTATTGTACGCATTACATGTTCTTGCTAGCTCAAAATTGTGCTGACCTGATGGCTGACGAAAGATGTAAAGGCTCAGTTTGGGTTATTATACCCACTTGATTATCATTACTTGACCTTGATCTCGCATAGCTGTTGTAATAAAAACGACCATAAGTTATGGTATTTCACAGCCCAAGATGATTGGGGTCTTTGTGCTGTGTGGAGTCTAAAGTGTTCATCATAAATTCCCCAACCACGGGATTTGATTGCTGCAAAACAAATATATCTCATATACTTTAGAAGCTCCTGGGACATAAAAAGCACTTGTCCAAGTGTGGATATTAGATATTGCTTGACATGGCAAAGATTCAACCCGCATATGCTCCCTTTTTACAACTATGTCACCATCTTGGTCAGAAAAAATTGCTAATTCCCTTGGAGACTTAATCAACAAACTCAATAAATTCCCCTTTCCAAATTGTCTCTTTAAGCTTCAAATGTATGTAACATACAATAGGATCGAAAGTACTTTCCTGGAGACTGGGAGGGTTCTGAGAAAAATGAACTTGTACATTAGATTGATTAAACTTGAATACTGTTAAAATCAATGACTGACTCACCAGATCTCTCATTTATTAGAGTCTATGGTGGGGTCCTGGGAATCAGCCTTCCTCCTTTCTTAACGCCTTGTCCTCTTGTCGGACTTTTCTTTCCTTTTGCAGGACTCTCCTCCTGACATATTCGTGTGTGTTGGTCAACTTAGGATCAGGGAACAAAAAGGGGTGATCTCCACTAATCGTAATGTCTCAATAATGAAGTGATCTTCAGTCATTGTAATGTCCAGTAAAGGGGTGATCTCCAGTAATTATAATGTCACAATAATAATAGTAATACACTAAGATGAATAATTGAGCAGTATGATGTTAAAATGCAAAGTTTTGTTGAGATCATCACAGGTACAATATTTTTGACAATCATAATGTTTATATAAAGTTAAACAGATGCTGCAATCAAGTTTTTAAGAATACGAGCGAGAAAGTTCAATGTGCTTTACACCTTTAAGAATTAAAAGCACGTGATAATAGTCATTCTAAACTATCAGAAGCGTTCCTTATGTGTGTTAGCATCAATAGAAATGTTCGGTTTATAATACTTACAGATTACAAACAAAAACAACGTATGCCAGTGGCCTCATCAATTATTTAATGTACAATAATTACTATAACATCAATAATTATTGGATATAACTATACGAAAATGCGGATTTACTGCGTGAAGAAATATTGATGGCCTCCGCATGATTTTGTTAACTATAAAATCAAATTGTTGCTGATTTTGGTTTTTGAACAGTGTTGTTTATGGAATCAGGGAATGCTGTTGCTTTTTTCTGTTGTTAATCAATGTAACAGTCTGGCAATTACCTGTCGTAGTTTTGCAAAATAGACATGTTTATATTTAAGCGGATATTGTATTATTCTAGAAGGACGGAGTAACACATCTCATGACCGATTTTAATGAATAAACAGGAGCTTGTCATAGTATTTCCTTTCGAATTTCATTGAAAATCTTTATTATAAAACTATTTATATCGTAACGTGACAACCTTAAAGTAATATGAGGACACTTGATTATTCAAGGTCATAAAAGGGAAACTTTAAAAAATGAAATTTTAAAGTGATATGTTAATTTTCGTAATACAATATGTAAGCGAAGTAATGAAGATGAAAAACTAGCATTTAATGAAACATGATTAAAAGGGTGCATGCGTCAAATTGCCTATTTTTGTAAAGATTATGTATTAGAAAACATTTTTTTAAATTTTAAATCAAATGTGAGAAGGTTTTGGAAAATGAATAGAGAAAATGATGTCAACGAACAAGATCATTTGCTACAAAGATGCACTTCATTAACATTCCGTTATGACAATTTTGCTAAACTGTGATCACTTAATATGGAATAATAAAATCAAACAAAACAGATAATGATGTTGTATAGTATTTCCTTTGTGTTTTATGTTTTGAATTTCATAAAAGAATCTTTATTATAAAACTATTTATATCGTAACGGGACAACCTTAAAGTAATATGAGGACACTTAATTATTCAAGGTCATAAAAGGGTAATTTTAAAAAATGAAATTTTAAAGTGTTATGTTAATGTTCGTTAGAAGGGTATGAATGATATCTAAATCTCTTATGTAAGAATAAATATTAGGTATCGGGAAAAGCAGTCCTAATAATAAAATAAATCATTCATTTTTTCTTCATTGAAATAATCAGTTTTACACATAAAATATCATTCGGTCTTCAAATTTGCAGATTTGGGCAAAGAACACGAGAAGAGTACTGATATCTTAATCAAAGATTGCACCTTTAAATATACCTGAAGTTAATTCACACAAAAAAGACTTTGAATCTATATACCGTTTACTGAGGACAGAAGATTATGAACTATCAGATATATTTACAAACGGCAGTTAAACATGCTAAATGAATGGTTCAATAATACATTATGTTTACTTATAATACATGTGATAAGCAACACAAAATGCATAACAGGTTGAATTACGGAGAAGAAAGTGGTTACTCATTCAGAGCAAACGAGTTAATCTATTTTTTGAGTCGATGACGGATATTTGTGATGTTTTTGTTAACATGTCTTTTTGATTGAGTTAAGCCAGTGGTTTAATCAGTATTTTATGCATAAGAAGTTTGAATTAAATATTTGAAGTTCAACGCTTGTGAAAGAAAAATCATATAAGACTGGAACTATCATGACAAAACCAATTGACGTTATATGGAATAAATACAAATCAACATAAAATGTTGAAAAATATTGTATATGCAAATCAAATAATTAACGTTTTCTTGAGTATGAAAACGTTTAGAATACCTCGGAAAAGTTTGAGATTTTGAGGAAATTGTTTTTGATAGACATTTATAATTTTTATAATCTATGTGCTTAACGCAATCTTTTGAGAGAGAGAATGTTGCTATTTACTCAAAGGCCCTCCCGATGAAACCTGTTGGAACTACAACTGTTAAAATTCCCCCTTTTTTCGACAAAAAAGAAACCAACTTATAATCTAGAAAAGAAATACTCATAGCCAATAAATGTATAATTGATAATACAAGTAGTACAGCCATGTATTTATTTATAGGCGATTGATATTCCAATTGGGAACCAGCTATTTTGTTTTCCACATGTATGAATTGCTGTTTTTTAGCGGCACACTCCAAAATAGAAAATTGGCTTATGCGCTATATACAAAATATGTTCACCCTCTTAAAGCAAACGTGGTTCTTCTCTGCAATGACTTGTAAAAAAAATTATATGTGAATTCACTTAAATACTTAATTTAGATTGAAATACAATTATATATATACTAGTCAACAAAAGAAACGATACGCAAGTTTGAACTCCAATTTATCATAAATATAATAAATAGGAAAAACTGTTAAATTATCCCATGAAAAACATTCATTTGCAAAGCAAATGCATATGATTAAAAGAATATGACCAAAGTGGAAAACTAGAAAATACCGTGTTGAAACACTTCAAAGTTATTTTGCGGAAAATGATGACAAAAGTCGGAACTTAGTTTCGAAGATTAAGAATTCAAGCATCTGCAAAGGCATTCAAAATTTTAAGCAGTCCATGTTTAAGTTTAAAGTTTTAACTTCTAATTTTGAATTTTTGGGTGAAAAAATGATTTTTGAAATTACAGAAATTCAAAAACAAAATCGTGTATTTGCCTTAAATCAATGGTTTTGATAAGAAAATAGCACTCTGTAAATATTAGACCAATTGGGCAATTATTTACCTTGGTACAGTGTATCCAATTTCATTATATATAGTATATATATATATATGATAAATAGACTTTTTTTTTAAATATCATCTAAATAAAAGCGCATTGTATCCTAAAGCTTGTCCTTTTTTTAAACTTCATACTGCGATTTCATGGAATTTAAGTTACTAGTATCCTACTTGCATAAACTGACAAAAAATTATTTAATGGAACTCTTGTAATTCCTGGTATTAAAAATGTTATTGTAATGATTTTGAACGATTAAAACAAAATCGGACATCGCTAAAAAAATTCGTATCTTCGTATAAAATTCCCGTAATTAAGGTACTATACTATAAATTTAAAATCAATAAAACAATTCAATACAGAATACTTACAGATGAATCTTTCACTTTATAAAGCCGAATTTTATCTTAGACTGCGCACCACGATATGTGTTGACATCTTTTAATTGCAATGAGTGAAACCGTCATACCATTTGGGTTATATGCAAAAGGTAAACATAAGTAATATAATACTTCTCGGTTTGTTCGGTAAAGACACGAAAAGGTTATTAAAACACTTAGTGAAACAATAAAAAATTTGAGACAACTCTTGTCATTGTTATATAAACGCGATCGGAAAAAGCATGTGATGAGGAGCATAGGAATTTTGTTTACTATTATGTTGTTTTCTTAAGTAGGTTAAAATTTTGAACAATTGTGTTAGGGTATTTTCAAAGTGCGTTTACAGTTGGATGTCAATAAGTGTTCTTTCTCAAAGTTTGTCATTTACAAGAATGTGAAAATATCATCAAAATATTATGTTTAACAAAAGTTCACATTTTTAAAATATCTTAGCTCTCGCAACTCTGTCCAACGACAATAATGAAAAAAATGTATTGTCTGTAATTAATTGCCAAGTGTCGTCAAACATGAAGTCGAGGCTACGTATATAGTCATTCGGCTCTAAAGAATGGTCGATAAATTTAAGTTTGCAGGTTAAGAAAATTCACATGATCGATGGTTTATTTTTCTGTGATGCCTATCGGTTTAAAAAGGAGTCAAAGTACTATTCCTCTTATACATGATACTTAATAACTCAATGTAACTTATCAACGTATTGTATACAAGTAACCCGATGTATACCACACAGGACGGGTGGATTAGCTACCGTCCCGGAGAATCTAAAAACACTCCAATGGTTGGTTTTGAAGCATATTGCTCAGTTGTCAGTTTTTTGTGTATTATTTCATGGACTTTTTGTCTTTTTAACTGTTTTCGTTTTTATTGCTAAATAACACAATGATGGGATGTATCAGTACCGAGCCTCGTCAAAAAGTAAAATCACAAAAATACTGAACTCCGAGGAAAATTCAAAAAGGAAAGTTCCTAATAAAATGGCAAAATCAAAAGCTCAAACACATCAAACGAATAGATAACAACTGTCATATGCCTGAATTGGTACAGGCATTTTCTCATGTAGAAAATGGTGGATTGAACCTGGTTATATAGCTAGCTAAACCTCTCACTTGTATGGATATTACCAAAAATAAAGTAATATTCACAAAGGCAATTAAAAAAAACTATAACACGTTATTAAGATGATGAACAACGTCAATACCTAGAATCTCTACTTCAAGTCCATCGTGTATTATTTGTGAAGTTGAAACGGAATATTTATCAACAAGGTCTTGTTATCTTCCGATGATTTGTTTTCGAAAAAAGATAGCTGTTCTTTACCCCAAACAGAATCCATTTAATCCCATGGTAAATATGGGAGACCACAATGATTTAATATTTACGATATCACATACAATACCATCCTTCAAGTTTATTGGCATATCATTGAAAATGAGAGGATTCAGATATTAAAATATTAGTCCAACTCATAAGTCAAAAACGATCTGACAATGTTATGGCAACAAACCAAAACACCAATCTACAAACACAACATAGAAAATCAATTACTGAGGGATACGAACCCAACACCAATCAAAGTGATCTCAATTGCTTCGGAACTCCTGTAGTAAAATTAAAGTAGTCACACAAAAAAGTTTGAATCGAAATTGCAGTTTTATTTGATCATAAGTTTTTTTTAGTTATAATATTAACGGTACCAATTTTTCTGCACTTGATTTTAGCATAAATCATGCTGTTGACAAATTGAAAAATGATTGGAACGTTTCACAGTTAATGTTGTACAAGTAAAATTTTAAAATTATGTACAGTGAATTATCTAATTTTCATGTTTACCAATTTTGAGAATGAATTAAAAAATGTATTTTCGATAGCAGTCAATTAAGATCTGTTCAGTCTATAGTCAGATTGTTCAGTAGCTGCCTTTTTACCTGTATACATCATACTGAATTGTCTGTTATGCTACTGAATAGGACTGAAGTCACTACAAGTGAACTTTCTGAACAGAGCTGAATTAACCGAAGTGACTACTTCTAAAACAACTGACAAAAAAGCTTAACATGACTGAATAATTATTGCACAGCCTTTTCATATCCTGTTAAGTTCAAAATGACCGATTTAGACAAAAAAAAATCATGTACGAGTGTATGTAAAACAAAACAAATTATTTTTCAATAATTTAACAAAAAAATAACTTTCAAAAGGAAGGATTTTTTTTTCACCCGCCTATTTCTATAATGTTCCCTAATTGGTAGGCATTAAATTAAGTAAAATGAAGGCTATATGCGATTAATTTTCTTTGAAATCAGAAATACTGGTAATGAAAAGCCGTAGATACTCTTTTTTCAATACAAATGCATTCAGAAAAAATATCTTTTATTGATTTTTTTTTCTTGCAATTTTTATAAATATTATTTAAGCAGGTCATAATCGATTGCAAAAGAAACAATTGGAGATTCATGTGCCTATTTTGTATCTCGAATTAGCAAAAACCTAGTTTTTTTTAAAATGCTAGCCCTCCAATCTCTTTTTGTTGGCGCTAAATTACGTCGCAATATCTTTTAAATGCAACATAGTCATGCAGTAAGTTTCGTCGTACATGTACATCAAAACTCTATACGAATAATTGTACTATACAAAATAAGTGATGTCATTTGCTTTGAATTTGATGCTCCTGCAGTAGATTTCGGGTCCTTAAACCTAAATTATCTTCGTTTTCTTTTGCAAATACTCTCAAATCCATTTTACCGATTTGATGACATTAACATTATTTACGCGAATGTCGAATGCTGATCATTTACAACGTTTGGAAATACCGCGTTGAATTTTGATGCACAATAAACTGGCCGTGCTACTGTGTTGTATGCCTTCAAACAATGCATAAATTAAGACCATCATTGAAACATAAAATCGTAATGTGTGGCAATTTTCATGGACGACCTCTGTATACGTACATTATCTATCTATAAATATACCTAAAAAAAATTTGATATGTTTGAGTTTAGCCGATTTCTTAATATAATCATGCAAAATATAACCTGCCATGCATTTATGATTTGTCTTTCTCTTAAAGAAATGCAGAAAATTCTTTTGTATTTTGTGATACACATTTTATAAAAGAATCTTATATATAAAACTATTTATATCGTATCGTGACAAGCTACACGCAATATGAGTACACTGAATAATTCAAGGTCATAAAAGGGTAATTTAGTTAACGTAACATTTTAATATGTTAAAGTTATCATAAGTAATACAATATGCCAGATAAGAAAATGACAATAAAAAGCAACATCTAATACAAAATAGATATGATAGGGAAATCACCTTAAAACAGCTTTAACCATAACATGGTGAAGTTTTCATTTCAAAATATAATATGGTTTTCATTTTTTATTCGTGTTATAACCAAAATGACAATAATTCCAAAAACATTATTGCAAAAAATTTCGTTTGCATTTCTAAGTGGTCTTGTGGCAGCGATTTTAAACAAGTGCGGGTGGTCGTCGGTTTTATCACCGAATACCAAACAAAAAACAAAAAATTTTGAAATTTGTATTTGATGTTTCTTCAGTAAGCAAAGCAGTAAAGAGTAAGAACAAAGACTGGTCGGCTCGTAGTCAGAATATTGAAAAAAAACAGCTCTAACCACAATATTGTTTTAATTTTCATTTCAAAATATAATCTGATTTTCATTTTTCAGTGTTATAACCGATGGATCAATAATTCACCCAAAAAAAGTTTTATTAAATTCGTATGTATCGTGGTAGCGTTTTCGCATCGAATTCGGATGGTCGTATGTTTTAACGCCGACCGGATCAATCCAAATACTTTAAAATTGCTATTTGATGCTTCTACGATAAGCACAGAACATTGAGGAGTAGAAACAAAGACTGATCAGCTCGTAGTTAGAAAAACGTGTCCGGGAAGGGTGACATGATCTCCTGTGAACTATTACCTTGATTAACTTTTTGTGTAATCATACAAGTATTGGTAACGAAAAGCCGTATACACTTTTTATCTCAATACAAATGCATTGATAAAAGAGAAAGGTTGAATTAATGACAATATCGGAACTAAATTACTAGTATAAAACTGTTTACCAGTCCAGGTAATTTTTTTTCGAATGTTTCTCTTATTGATTAAGTAAAAAGGTTAATTACCGTTAGAGTAGTTCAGTTTGCGTCTGCTTTTTAAGGCGACAAGCATTAATTCCTTTTTCTTTTAGTATCAGCAGGTTAAATAGTTGAATTTGATATCATTTCCATCGGACATTGCCTGAAACGGTTTTTTTTTCTAATTCTTACCCGATTTATTATTTCCTGACCTGCCGATTATTTTCTTTAAAAACGTGTGTTTCGTTTGATCTCAGTTTATTGTTCAAAATACGATTATGACGTCAAATTTTCTTGCTTTTCTATAAAATTCTCATTGTGACATCTTGAAAAAATAAGGACCATGCCAAGAGACGTCACATAGAAAGAACACATCTTTTTGCAGATCGATCGAAAAGAAGGATTTAGATTGTCTGTATACATTCTAAAAATCATTAGAGAAAGATATTCGACCACTATAACTCGTGCAATACGATATTTATCCACACTTGACAGTTCGATGTCAAATATTTCAATCGCTCGGCGTTATAAATTTAAAATTTTAACTGTCGCGAGTGGATAGATATAGTTTGTATAGTTAAGCGCTTCTAATGTACTGAATTGGTCTAATATTTAACGTTTGTATACGTTTTGTTAGCTTACTGATTGAAATAAAATCGGGGGTATTGAAATCTCAAAATGTAGACTTAACATGCCCCCTTCTTTTACTTAGATCAATCCGAATTTATTCTTTTTTTCTTATTTCAACTCAACTTGCATTGCAATAAATTAATCAAATGCGTTTAAATCGATTCAAAGCATTTCTTGTTGGAATTCTTACATTCGCTGGTCATGAAATTGTTATAATTGTAATACGTTTTTGGGCGATAGAACACAAAAGAGAACTTCTGTCAAAAATACTTATTTTTATATAAAATTCCCGTCATAAACAAACTAAATGTAAAAGAATTAAGCAATGCAATACAGA